ACAAAGTATAAAAATATATTGGGGATACCAAATACAGGCCTAAGAGTCCTGCTTTAATACATAAAGGCAAATGCTTAAAATTATAAGTCAAGGAGTTACGTCCCCTGCCTAGCTACACTTGGACCATATGTTGTAGGAGACAATCCAGAGATAGATACAGGACCCTTTCAGCAGCAGCCAAATACCTGGATCTCAGGGGTACAGTCCTGGAGGAAAGGATTTTGGTGGCCAGTGGAGGTGGCTTAGAGCACAGCCTCATGATAGACTGATTCTGCCTCCTACATGAAAAGCAGCTGCTGTGGCTGGCGTCAGAGCTGAGGTACAAGTTGAAGCTGCGGTCCCCAACCCCTGGGCCATGGACTGGTACCGGGCCATAGCCTGTTAGGAACTGGGCTGCACAGCAGGTGAGCGGCTGGCGAGGGAGCAAAGCTTTATCTGTATTTATAGCCACTCCTCATCACTTCCATCACCACATAAGCTCTGTCCCCTGTCACATCAATGGGGGCATTAGATTCTCACAGGAGCGTCAACCCTACTGTAAACTGCGCATGTGAGGGATCTAGGCTGTGCACTTCTCATGAGAATCTAATGCCTGATGATCTGAGGTGGAGCTGAAGTGGTTATGCTAGTACTGGGGAGTAGCTGCAAATACAAATTATCATTAGCAGAGAGGTTTGCCCAATAAATGTCATGTGTTGCAATCATCCCAACACCATCCTTCCCCCACCCTCCAGTCTGTAGAAAAATTGTCTTCTATGAAACTGGTCCCTGGAGCCAAAAAGGTTGGGGAAGTACTGAGTTGAAGGGTAGCTCCTGGCTATCAGGAGCAAACCTGGATAGCCAGTGGCCTGCCAGAAGCTGGAGGACACAATCCACAGACAGACCTCTGAGGGGACAACAAGAATGATCCCAAGTTCCACTTGTCTAAGATCTATTGCCAAAAGAACAAAAGCAAAGCACCGGAGTGAGGGAGGTCTCAGATGCAGAGCTGGTAAATACCTGCTTTCTTAGACCATCAAGCAGGGTTGGGGTAGATGCCCAGGAAGGATGGTGGGGTGTTCTGGGCAGTCAGGACCCCTGACCCCTATATATTAAAGTATATTTAGAGAGCATTTTAACTTTTTCCTACAATTGGCATAGCCAAGTCTGTTTTTAAATATTATAGAAGTACACTTCATTCTGCTGCCTTATTTGCAGGGTTATTATTAAGTCATGTACTTATTTGTTTACCTGTCTAACTTGACTAGCTCAT